AAGTCTAATTTCACAATACTTAATACTTCATTCTTAGATAATAGAATGAGAAGATAAAGTTTGGCACTACTCTGTGATAGATACATTAGCATAGTTCATTTCGAACAATCTCGACTCATATGACAAGTGACAAATCAGAATATAAATATAAACACAGATAATGAGGGAAAATCATATGAATTACATCCCTCCAGACATAAAAATCAAATCGATATTTAGTGAAGGTCATATTCACTAGGATTAGCCATATTGACGTAAATGATACTGTAGTGAACAAGAACACGAGTGGGGACAATCGAATGTATTTGATACGAAATTACAGAGCATCTCACTAAAATCTGAAAATCATATAGTAAATCGTTAATTTGCAAAATATCAGTCCATTGTCTCAGATTAAATTGTTCATGAATTTTCATACCAATTGCTCTCCATGTTTGTTTTTTCCCTCTCAATCATCCACTAAAATACATTCTATACCTGACTACCGTTATATACTACTTATGTGGATATAAGTAACCCACACCACAATACTACTGAAGACAAGACTAGGCATCTAAATGGAAAACTGGTAAAGAATGGACATTAAAATCTATAAATGAACTGGGAAAATATAGTATGTTGAGAATTATTCTTTTGGAATCTAAAAAAGTATGTCTCCATGATTCATTGGTTAGTTAAATAACCATGTGTTGAAAGGAAGGCTAAATCGACTATCAATGGGACGTACTATACAACCATGGTCATTATCATTGAAAAACAAACAAACCTAAACAGCGGGTAGACAATTGCGTTAATTCTCAATGTCTTTACCAACTTACATGTATGAACAGTCACATACATTGAAGAGTGAATGTAATATCCAAATAAAAATGGCTGGGGAAAAATACAGTTCATTGGCCCATTAAAAACAAATGATAAGCATCCACCTTTCTCCATTGCAAATATAGTTGAGACCGGCCATAGGATTAGTCTTACTCCAGCCATTTTGGTTTTGCAGAAAAGTGATCTAAGGTCAATACCTGAATTTGTTAAAACCCTATCCCTACGAAAACTCAATTCCATCTTTTTGTTACAAAAAGAATCTATACTTGCAATAAACCTACCGTGGCAATTTTAATTGATTTTACTATTCAGAATAGTATAACGCATATGAATCTTCATTATTATCTCTGCTCTTCCTTATTTTTTAAGTTGTCTTGTACGAACTTCGTTCCTCCAATAAATATCCTAACAAACAGTCGAGATTATTCGAAATGTGTGGTTACGGCGTAATCTTGAAATAAACTTCATTTTCTTAGTGGCTAGCAGTGCAATCTAGGATGGGGATTTTGTGAGATGGGTATACATTACGATGTTGATGCCTACACCAGGAATAGAAGGCAGTGCGTTTCAACCAAAACATGTAACTATTTGTCCACTTAAATACCGAGTTCAGATAACCACTATCTTGTGAAACGAAATGAACTGAAAGTATTCGTATAATCTTAGTGATAACACGAATGTTACTAATAAGCTACTTTTGGTATTTGTGCATCCTTAGCGGATTGCCACGATATCGCCTGATATCCACAGGTAATTTTGGTAAAATTCGATAGAGATCAGTATTGAAACTCAGGTATGGGATATAGTCCCAATGTGAACAGAAACACATGCGGTTACACCTAACCGACAAGTCCCAAATAGGACCAATCGCACATCGTAGATCCAACTGGTAAATTTACTAAAATACTTATGAATATCTGGTAATATCGAGGAGATCCCCTCAGGATGTACAAATGTTAAAAGTGACTAATCAATTACAGTCCTTAATAACATAAATAAACACCTACAAATTAAAAAGCATCCGTTTTAATCGCAACTGTCAATTAACATTTTACATCCTTATCACAACTATTTATTACACCAAATTGAACAAATTTCAAAACAAAACTACACAGATCACACATTTTAATAGTCATAACAAGAATGTAAATAATAACAATAATGATAATAATAATAATAATAGTAAATTATAATTAAAAACACTGAGTAACTTTCGTTAACGTATCGATTTGTTTATTTGATTTAGTATGAGGCACATGATGAAACTATTTTGAATATTTCCCAATTACTTCTTCATTCGAACTCTTTTCTACACTGATTGATAGTCGTTTTCGAAATCAACATCAATTGATGTTACTAGTGATAATCGTTGTTGTCATTATGGTAATAATAATAATAATAACTGTCGTGTTAGTGTGTGTATGTATGTACGTATGTAGCATGTTTGTAGGTATGTATGTATGTATGTAGACATAGTAATAGAAGAATCACGATGAGTCGTCAAAAAAAAATAATAATCATAACAAACAAAATAATAATGGTAATAATAACCACAACGATAACAATAAAATGGAATCCCTCCTTAAGAATGTATGGATCATTAGATTATTTACTGATTAATGAGAGGATATATTTTTGTCTGTTCAATTTGATCTTGTTAATGTTTAAGAGTTCACACATACTTATGAGAAAGAAATTGGAACAATTTAATGGAAAGATAGATAGAATCAAGTTTTTTTTATTTTCATATAGACAATAAAAAAGGAGGACAGTATGTTTTTGTTTGTCTTATCATTATCATCTTGATTTACATTCAACAATATCAAGGTACTACATACATTTTACACTTTTTCTGATATGAATTACATTTTTTTTAATAAAAAAAAAAACCAAACATCAAATCTACATGATCACACCAAAAACAACAAAAGAGAATCAAAGGAAGAATTCATTTTGTTTATGTTTATTTTGTTTAATTAATGTGAAAGAATCATAATCTAAATGTGATTACATCATGATATCATAAGGAGAACTAACACTGAAAATATAAGTTAGAGAACAATTAATGAGAAAGTAGATTGAGAAACATTGATTTAAAAAAAATGATTTGAAGAAGTCACATGGAAAGTCGAAATTATTGATCAGATTAATAAACACAACATAATGGTATTAATCTCTGTGTTAATATTCATTTGAATTCAATTCTATGTTGTTTAATGAATTTGGGAAGGGGGGCGGGTATACGAAATGTATTTAGTTGTTTAAATGACTTATATGAATATAACGAATATATAATGAGAGGATTAGTATGCGGGTATTCATCTATATGTTTGTTTATGTGGTAATTATTGTAATACAAAATGTAATAATACTTATCTATTCCATATTATAATCCTTATCACCTTTATTATTGCAATAATGGAGGCTGTAATGACTATCATCATGGATAATACATGTTAGATTACACACACACACACACAGATACACAAAAGAATAAACAAAGAATCATTCGATTAATTAATCAATAGTAATGAATCGAGTAACGGTATCTGTTAGTACTAATATTACTATCAGGAAATGAAATTTGGAATAAAAAATAACACAAACATACAGATTCATATAATCTGAAATAAAATGTTTGAATGATAAATAGATAGATAGATTTCCAAACCTAAGGAGTAACTAATAAAAGTGAACAAGTCACACAAAGAAAAATTTAAAAGAGAAAATGAGAAAACATTCTTCTAGATTATCTCTAACACCCAACCCCTCATCGTTGTCATCAATAAAATTGAATAAAGAGTTATATAATACTGATCAGTTTAAATGTGTCTTTTTTTCTGGTTAAATTCTTGAATCCAACAGTGTAAAAGACCTCAGAATAAGACTGACGAGTAATGATCGATAGGAAAAATTATGAATTATATTTGAATGATAAATAACATGAATAAAGTTTGTCATTTAAGGGTTGTTTCCTTACCACCACCACCACCACCCCTAATTATTTTTCACTTCAAAATTTATTGATTGATTTATTTTTTATGCTTTGTAGAAACAAAAGGAATTAGTTGTACACGAAATAATTTGTCACTTAGATTAGTAATGGAACGTAAGAAAAAAAAACGTATCATTCACAGCAATAGTTGCTTCTTATGATTTTCTTTTCTAACAATTATACATCGTTTTAAAAAAGAAAAAAAAACAAGTGTAATTCGAAGAACAAAATTCAATAAAAGGCGAAATTGGTTATTGAATTAGGGGGGGGGGGGAAATGAAAACATGAAAAAATAAACAAAGAGAAAGAAGTAAGAAGAAAACAATAACTGAGTAAGATAATATAATATTTACCCAATTATTAATAATTAAAAACAACATATAAAATCATTCACAAATGTAAAACAATAAGTGATTAATTAATAAATTATAAATAGACCATTCACATATATATTTAAGAACAGATCATATAATAAATTATAATATTCTGTACGTGTATAGGCATAGATATACGTGATTGAACCGAAGCACATACATACACACACATACACATACAGAAATACATTAACAGCACATATAAGACTATCTGTGATATATGTAAAGATGACTTTTTAAAGAAAGGGAATACATAAATTCGATAAATCAATAATTATTATAAAACTGAATAAATGAAACATCTAAACATGTATATTATGTACATATACATTAGATATTTAATTATTCCTTATTTTATTATTTTTTTTGTATTTAGTTACTATGACTGTTTCAATGTTTAATTTGTTACTGAGAGAAAAAAAAATTAAGTTTTCTTAAAATAAAATAAATTTTTTTTAAATTTTTTTTTAAAAAAAAAAGTTGTCAAATATATCATAAAACAATAAATGGATAAATTAACAAATGCTTGAAGGTTTTGATTTTATTTTTTTTTTTTGGAATTATTCAACAGTTTTTTTTTCTTAGTGTTAAGTTCGTTTCTTCTTCTTCTTCTGTGTGTGTGTGTGTTTAGTTCTTTTCCACCTTCTTTGAAATAAATAAATATCGTTGTATGTATATAGGTAAATAAATAAACGAATAAATAAATAAATATAAATAATAATATTATTATTGTAATTATAATAATTTTAATGGAAGATTCACTTCGGTCAATGAAATAAGAAAGGCGCATTTTTTGTTGTTGTTGTTGTTGAAAGAAAAAAAAAGACAAACAAACATCAAATTCACTTGTTTAGATAAACCAGAACAAGTACACATACACACACACGCACACGAACACAATAATAACAGTCGAGGAGAAGAGGAAAGAGAGAACGAGCGTACGCGCGAAAGAGACTAAAACAAAACTTTAAAAATTTTATTACTAAGAATGTTAAGTGGTTACATAAATTAGAATCTCATTAGGAATATTATTGCCAGGGAGGGTTTTCTTTGGAAATAAAAATAATCAAAATTGAAAGAAAGAAAGAAAAAAAAAAGAAAAAGAAAGAATGTTTATTATAAATATTATTGTTGTAAATCCTGTTTAATTTAGTATTCATGAATCTTTTGTGAATATTGTTTGTTTTAATTGATTAACAATCAATTGTAAAATGGTGGGATTTTCAAAAATGTGTTTTTCTTTAAAAAAAAATCATTTCAATTGTTTGTTTGTTTGTTTGCTTTTTTATTAAATTCATTATTGATAAGAAAATGATGGTATTTCAATATGATCTATAAGAAATAAGGGGAAAAACATTATTGTTAATTATAAATTATAAAGAAATGATAAATGGTAGAATTTTATTACTTTGATAAAATACTCTGAAATGAACAATGAGATCAAATTGATCATTTTCCTGATTGAGAGTTATTTTTACAAATTTTAACCAAATGACTATTTTGTTTTTCAAAAACGGAACCATTGGTCAACTTACTTAATATGTTAATGTCAATTTGTATACAAAGTATTCATCCCGGATAGTATAACTAAAAATTATTATTCATCAGTTAAAAAATTATATCTCATTGAAATCATGATCATCAAGATCATCATTGAAAACGTAAAACCATTGGATAGGCGTTTTTTCCTGGCATGGAATGCCTTAGAAACGCATATTCATGATCCTTCAAATGGATATCAAACTCGGGTCATTGAGTTCCACTCATGAACACTAAACCTATAGACTGATCCATGGTTTCAGTGAAATTCATAGATCTTGCCATTCCGAATTTACCAATTATCATGTGCTCATTAGTGACTTGCTTCAAGAGGAAACTACCAGAGTTCTGGTGAGAAACCATGACCAGTGGAGCTAATCCGTGCCAGATGTGAGACAGATACTCATCGAAGACGAAATGTCCTGAATTGATTGAAGCTAGGAATAAACACCATTAGATGTTGGCTCAATGGTCTAGATGTTAAGCGCTCGCGCGCGAGACCAAAGGTCTTGGTCATACAAGTTCGGACAAATACATATGGGCAAAGTACGTGAACTTCTTGTTTCACCAACTATTTCCAATACTAATCAGTGTGACAAATAAGATTCCTGTGACTACTAATGTGATTATCAATATTATTTGTTGTACTAATGATAATTATCATAATTATAATTGTTCTACTTCTATAGAGATGACAAAGTTCACTTAAATCAGGTATTATTGTCCATCGCCAAATTTTCCCATTTCTCTGTCATATCTCTTTATTTATTTGAACTATAAAATAATTATCAATGAACGATTTAATCTTATTGTTCCAATAATAATAAAATGGTGTATTGCAAATAAGAGAACTTTTGTACGATTATTCACAGTCGATAAGATTTCGTTGAGATCGTGAACCGATCTAATCTAAACTACCGTTGGAGGGCTAGAATCTCTAGACAATATTTGGGTACGAGACGGAATGTTGTAGGTTTGATTAATGTGTGCTGGATCATGGATGCGACATTACTGAGAAGTCCTATACTATGACGGAATGGCCGTCTAATACTTGAATATTTCCAATGGTTGTTTTACTTAGATCTGTTCATGATTTCGATAAAATTCAACATCCTCTACAACCCCTTACTGACAACAATAAATGTATTTCAAAAAATGGAAATGAAAGTCATAAAACAACCAATAATCTTTTACATGTGACCATTCACAGACTGCAGAAAGTAAGTATTATTGTTGTTTACTTTCCAAAGATTTTATGCCAATTTATTTAAGATAATAACCTGTTGTAAGTTCTTTTTCAAAAACTACAGTCTAGCAAGTTTGTTTCATTTTAGAAATCTTTATAAATAGTCACAATAATATAAATCATTTAGTACAATTAATTCACTTCTTGGAACTAAATGTCACTTACTCTTCTCCCACGGATAAATCAGTTCATATACTTCAGACAATAAATAATAACATGAACACTTATTTTAGGAACTATCAACATACCTATGTATATCTGGAACTCTTATAGAAGATCATAAGGTTCACAGTTATCATTTGAATAACACTTAATTCCTCTATCTAGACTAATCTTTTGCTGAAATCTCTATCATTTTTCAATGGGTTTTTTTTAGAATCAAGTTTAATCGAATACTGATAGTTTCGATGTTAAATAAAAAAAATTAATGTCACAAGTTCTCAGTTTTCAGCTTTAACAACTTCATTATTAGTTATCATAACTGAGATAATGATTGAAATGAAATATATTTTAATTCATAAATGCTAAGATTAATAATATGTAAGTTAAAGGACTCTACTAAAATCACGAAAGATATATATTTATGTATAAACCAGCTTCCGGCTGAAGAGGAAATTAGGAAAAGACGAGTGAAATGTATAGGGCATACAATACGCAAGTCATTAAACTGCATCACGAGGCAAGCCCTAACTTGGAATTCTGAAGGGAAACGGAGAAGAGGAAAGCCAAATAACACATTACGTCGGGAAATAGAAGCAGATATGAAAAGGATGAATAACAACTGGGAAGAACTGGAAAAGATTGCTCAGGATAGGGTTGGATGGACATTGATGGTGGGCGGCCTATGCTCCTCCATGAGGAGTAACAGGCGTAAGTAAGTTAGTAACAACGTATAATAACGACGTTTATGCCCGTTCAATTTTGTTAAGATTAAAGTGTTTCATTCATGCTGAAAGCTTTTACTGCCGAATATCTATCTCTATATCAATGTAATAATTTTGATTAGAACCTCATAGTAAAGTTTTAATTATGATTTAATGTAAATATTTATATCAAAAAGTATAACTCTACGCTGAACTTTTAATATAAGGAATAGCATAGATTGGCATTGATTAACTATTCTATGGAATATTATATTTGCTTTCGATATCAATACTTAACATTATCATAGAATGAAATACGTGATCATCAATCAATATTGAATTTAGTGGTCTTAAATCAATCACAGTGGTGTGGTTTCATAAATCCCGAATTTCCTTTCAGATTTTGGGCTTAGTGTCATCCCGTACTTTTTATTAGTCGACCTCATTTATTCCTTTCAAAATCTTTTATTTTTGATATGTAATCTACACCAGAAAATAATTTTATGGAGATAACTATTGAGCATCGGAAAACATGAGACACATGTTTCGTCTTAATACTGAAGTACTCATTATCGCGCTGCTAGAACTACGTTATGAATCGAATATAGGTACTTCAAGATGTACGACGAAAGTATGACAAATATTTCCATTATCAGTTGGATAACTAACACGTACTGTCATCTTGGATATCTGTCTCACATCAAATATAGTTAAAATTCCATCGATCATAGCACCTCAATTGAAGTTTGTAAATTCCTCTCAAGGTCGCCCACTACTGAGTACATATTTAGCTCATCACTAAGATCGAGATTATTTCCCCCTACTGTTTCTTATCCAGTTTCATTTATTGCTAGTTATTCTAACTTACAGGTGTATGAAAACTTCAACTGACAGATATTCTATAGCAAGTTATCATGTATTATTATTATTATTACACTACTTTAACTTTGGTATAAATTTAAAATCTATGCCACAATATTGTTAATCCTTAAATAATCACTTACAAGGTGCTTGAAAATAACCTGTATGATCGGGTAATGCAACAGGAAAATGTGACGACAATGTATTGTGCGGTCCAATAACTCGATTTGCCGCTGCAGCAGCGGCTGCTAACGACGCAGCTGCAGCTAATGATGCCGCTGTCAATGGAATTGGATTCCCATGTGCTCCTGCCGCTGCTGATGGTGGTGCTGGCTGTGGAGGTGGTAAACCCAAACCGATGGAATTTTGTTGTTGTGACTGTTGTTGTAAGCTGAAAAATGCTGCCGCCGCAGCTGCGGCTGCCGCTGCTGTTGCATTCATTGTATTATTATTATTTCCATTGGTACAATTACTCCCTGAACTACCCCCACCATTACTATTACAACCAGTGGCAGTCCCAATTCCAACACAATTATTAGTATTTGATACAGCAGAAGTAACACGTATTCCAGGTGATTGACTATGTTCTTTAATATTCCCTGTTTCATTACTAGTTCCATTTATTAATCCTGTTGACCCATTCAACTTGTGATGATGATTATGATGATGTTGATTTTGTTGATGGTGATGATGATGATTGTGGTGATCATTTTGTGAATTTAATTTACCTCCATTTACTTGTGTTACTATTCCACATGGAGTATAAATTGATGAAAAATCAGTTTTAGTATCTGGTAGACTAGATCGTTTATTTGATAAACCATTTATTGTATTGTTAGTATTAAGTAGATGACGTGGTGTGTTAGTTGATATATGTGTTGGTAAATTTGGAACACCATGTAAACTTGTCATTCCATTAGCTGTAATTGCATTCAAATATGGACTAAATCCAATATTCTAAGAGATGAAATAATAAAAAATAAATATAAAAGTATAAATTTATATTATTTATTATCAGTATAAAGGTTAGTCGAGATTATTTATGTCAACTCAGGACCTATCAGTCTCGCGCACGAGCATTTAATCACTAGACCACTGTTGGGTTCCGATCTCGCGAGGTGAGGTTGTGGATGCGCACCGCTAAGGAGTCCCACAATAGGACGAAACGGCCGTCCAGTGCTTTCAGGTTTTCCATGGTGGTCTAGCTTCAAGTGACTCATAATCTCAACGATTGAAATTACTATAATATCCACAAAAACCCTTCTCTGTTTATATTTTTTTCTATTACATATATTATAATCTTCAAAATATTTTTTTGCTTCTAATAGTCAATGTGATTCATGTCACAGTATGAATAGATTATTAGTTTTTTTACAACACTGCCCCCGAATTCTCTGGTAAGGCTGAGGGTGAGGAAAGTCAACTCTCTCTCTCTCGAAACGCCCTCAGATGGCCACGTGCATATAACCACAGCCAGTGAACTCCTACTCATTGGCTTCTCGTGGCATTACTGTTGTAAATATCTTAAGACTACAGTAAAATGTAATCATAATTTGATGCAAATCAAAGTTGTTTTCTTTCTAAATCACATCTGAAGAACCAGTTTATGAATTACGACTATACTGAAGCAAGTTAATCAAACCCTCCATTGTCAAATAATTAAACCAATTCGATTCACCAATTAGCCTGAAATATAGGGAAGTCTATAAAACTCTGCAGTGTATTGCCAAAGTTTAAAATAAATATTCAGAAATTATAAACCATGGGATTAAAGTATAATTCTATAACACAATCTTGTATCTACTGGAGTTCACTTGCCATGAAATAACGATAATTTTACAAATTTTAAGTATTTAAACTTTGCTTAAAATCATAATGAATGTCAATGAATCTAAAGTAATTTAGTCACGGTTAAATTTTGATTTATCTTCTGCAACTTTATTAGAAGTAACAAGCATAAATAGATTACATATGTTGAACTTTGTAGTTAATTCATTTTGTTTACTTATTAATTTATAAGTAAGATAATGCATAAAACATAAATAACCATAAAAGCAATAACACAACTTTCGAATTATCGTAGAAATATCGCTTTGAAAAATGACATTCAACAAGCATCATTCAAAATCAAATAAATAAATCAAGAATTCATAGATTTGTTTATCTGAAACTAAATGATCCCTTAATGTTGAAGAAAACAAAACCACTTATTAAATCCACTTGGTATTGTTTACGTGAATCTTCCCATTGATGATTTAGGAGTGCAATTGATCGGTTGTTCAAATGGATTATTATTATTATTATTATTATTATTATTATTATTATTATTATTATTATAAACATGATACGCTTGTTTGTGCTTATTATTATTATCTATAATCAATAAATAGTTATAAATATTATTGAAAAAATTAATTAAACATGCTTTTTTCCTAGGTGATGATTCTATCTCTATTGGTATACTATTAACAATACAATCAAATTGTAAGTTTGTTGTTATTGAAGATAATGATGAGAAAGAAGAGGCCGAGAACGATGACGATGTTGATCATGATGACAATGATGTAAAGGATGACCTTGACAGCATTAATGATTGATATATGTACTCCAATGAAATCTTATTCTTCACTTTTTTTGTTGTTTAAATCCCATAATCTCATTAAGGTTAATTTATTCAAAATTCAGTCATCTAAATGAATAACTTTGTTAGTTGAATCATACAGACATGGAATATTGATAAAAGAAGGTGATCTAATTGGTTTTCGTTGGAAAGACACATCCATGCACAAATATACGGATGTAACGTATAGATATATGAGTCATAAAAACAACGATTCAATGATTTTAAAGAGATAATTTACGTTGTTACAATGATGAGATTTGTTGAGGTCATTCGTGATAATAATAATAATAGTAAATAATAATAATAACAGTGATAATGATAAACGACAAAGAATTAAACATTAGTGATATTATTCAAAAAAATTGCGAAGAAGAAGAAAAAAGAAATAAAAGTAGGAAGTAGAAATCAAATCATTCATATACATTCATAGATATACAGCACACAGCAATAGGTTTAGTATTAAGTAAAACCATTACATTTCAAATTATTATTGTCATTATCATTATCGTCATAAAAATGTCGAATAAGTTCGTATAATAATCACAAAACAAGCATCACAATAAAATAAAACCAAAAAAATTAAAAAAATCAGTCGTTAGAGAAATTCAATGGGAATTGTTAAAACACACCCAACAAGCTCAATTAAGATTTTCAACGAAAAAGAAAAGCAAGCTAGAAACACAATTGTATGGATTATGTTTGACAAAAATAAGAGAAAGGCTTTAAAAAAATTATAAAAAACCAATTAATTATTTAGTTAATTAATGCAAAATTATATTTATTACTTAATTCGAAACATGGTAACGATGTTTTTTATTAAACATTTTATGCTACTTACAAGTAGTAAAATTTATAATTGACAAATATTTCCGCGTTTGGTAGGTGCGAAGATTTTTTAACGAATGTTTTAATCATATATTAGTCTCCAGTAACATATAAACAACTTGTTTGTTTGCAATATTTTAGAGGAATAGATACTGTATGAAGTTTATTTATCGATATTAAAGTAGGGATGAATAATTTAGATTGTTTTGTTACTATTCATTTTGTTCTTACGCTACAATTTAAATGTTTTAATAAAAGTAATCAATTTGTTACTTCTAATCTATCTTGACTAATACATAACTACTAAGTAATTCCAATAAAAACTTCGGATTCTGACTGAGTTAAGATTGTATTAGGTGTTTGAAGTAAACAAATGCTATAAGATTTGTTTGTAAAATGAATCCATCCTTAAAATGCAATTTCTGAGTAAATCCTATCCGTATTAACTTTTGAGATGGGATTGCAGAAAGAGAAAACTTTAATATATTTGCTTATTTTATTTAATTGAATGATAAGTTTGTTCGTGATACTTATCGCGTACGAGTACTATCTTAGAAAAAAAATATATAAGTGAACTGAGTTACTAAGATTATTGAATATGGACAGAATTAAGCAAATGACATTCATGCAATGCTGATGGCTGTTTATAGAGATGATATGTCGAAAAAAGTCCCTATCCTTTCAAGTGGACTAAGCAGTTCAACGAGAGTAAGGATGACACATACCCAGAACGACTGTCGTTCTAGTGTATTTGTGGAAATATTGAAAGTGTGCAGTGTCTTTTGTTTCCTGATTGGTTCACTGTACATATGATTACTGATGAAGAATTCCATGAAATAAATGTTTAAATTTAAGAAACGATGAGGTTACTGAAAGTTATGATATCTTACGGATGTGAGATATTATTTGAACAATGAAAATGAAGATGGGAGAAGTCTATTACCAAAAATGATAAGGGGATAAGATTGATGTAAACCGAAATTTTGTGAAATAATGTTTTTTTTTTTAAATTCTAGTTAGATGACGTAACCAAATTTATAAGTTTCCCTCTAATTCCATAATTACTATTCTATGATGCATCAGTTAGTTAAAACAATCGTCTAACTATTAACGAGTCGAACCTCAGTGGTGGATCCGCCAATTTATTGCAAGTCATTTACTAGAAAATATGACTTTATAAATAAATATACCATGAGTGAATGAATCATCGTCATATAAATAAGCAAAAACTATCCTTCCTATGTTTCCCTAGTTATGCATAGCTGTAAGATTCATTAGTGGATTCAATTCAGTCATAAGAAAGGAAAGAATACATTTATCACATATTTCATTCACTAAGTTCGTAAATTATAGTATACGATGAATTTTGAACCATTAACACGAATGAAAATTAAAGCTTATATAACATGCTCTACTAAGTTAATATCAAGATAACAGACGATCACTTAAACCATATTATATTTGTTAAAAGAAGCTAAAAAGGTATAGAGTTATACGAATATATAATGTTGTGGCATTTCATTAATCTACTCACAAATCATGAGGATAAAATGTCTTTAGATAATTCAGTAAAATATAATCCACATTAATCGATCTTTCAGCTGTAATCGATATTAGATCATCTAGCTCTCTTAGCGCTAAGTGAATTCAATTAGTCGTATTCTAATACATTTTTCCTAGATATCATGATGCATATTATTTGTTGTTGAGTGGTTGCTATTATATCTGAACGAATAATAAATGAATAATGACCTATTAGCTACTGTTATACGACTTATCATTCTTAATTTATTCCTAATTTATTAGTTACAGTAATCCATACTGACAACCACTTTTTTGACTTGATCTTACATAATCATTATTTTTCATTTTATAGTGTGATGCGGTTTCGTGTGTTTGTATACAAACCAAGTACGTCTGAAATATACAATTCAAATAGATAAGTTTGATATTTGTGTTCTGGACTCAATAGGCTAAGTCTAGGTGAGAAGCTACTATACAGAGGATCAAAAAGAACTCGAGACTGCTAGCGCTGTTTTTTGACGCATCATTGGTTTAACTTAGGGATAAGTTCATAGAAGCCGGTATTCTGATTGACGGTTCTGTCACATGATACGTAACGGACCATAGGACATCACAATCTCAACCTATCTCAATCCTACAGTTATTTAGTTACATAGTAAATGTCTGAGTGATGATACTTATGATTTTGGATACTACATGGCATAAAGATTTGAATATTAAGGGAGATATCAATTTCTTTGATGTTACAGATATGTCTAGTTGATCCGTCTCAACTAGTATGAAGCCTAGCTTCGAGACTTCCTGTTGAACATTTCCAACCGTTTTACATCACAACTAGTGTTGCTATGGATAGTTCCCGTCTATATCACATTCTTAACTCTAAAATCTTAGTATTCGATGATTTCATGGACTTCTTGTCAGTTTTATTAATACTATATTAACCTGTATAACAGCCAAAGATCTACATAATGTTCAAGCTGCATTTAATAGAAGCAAAATATAAATGTTAATATTTCGTTCATAAATATTGCATTGACAAGCGCACACATAAACACACACACACACACACCCATAAATGTTAACAAGCTTAACACTAGTAAATTGTCACAAAAATGCATTTCTGATTATTTACACAAAGAAAAAGAAAAATAGAAATGTTTAAATAAATTTTAAAAAACAATACTACTAACAATAACCAATACACGACTACTTACAAGTAGCGGATAAGCTGATGGTGCACCAGTTTGATTGGTAAGAGCTAATGCAGCTGGTGTTGTATAAATTAACTATAAGAAAAAATGATAATTGAAAAAAAAATCAATTAAAATGGTCAATTAAATAAATAAATAAATAAGTAATTGACAATAAATTTTTATCATATCTAGTTATAGAATTCATACGGCATGTTTCGTCTTAACTTGGACTCATCAACTTTAAAACGACAACATATTCCTAATTGATAAATCGTAAAGCAATATAAAACATTAATTTTGAATTCTTCTATTAGCCTTAATCAACTATAAACATAACCTAAACAGAATGTATATAAATAGATGTGGTCATAGAAACTGACTAACTACAGAATTCTCTTTTCAAAAAAATAATTATTATCGTAAATTTCACAGATTGGAATCATGAATCAACTGAAGCTAGACCACTAAGGAAAACCTGGAAGCATTGGACGGCCGTTACGTCCTAGTATGGGACTCCTCGGCAATGTGCATCCACGACCTCGCACCCCCCAAGATTCGAACCCAGGACCTGTCAGCTACACGCCAGGCGCTTAACCAACTAGACCATTTAACCGGCATTGAACGGTGTTAATGTCTAAATTCAACCAGTCCACAAAGTTGTGCCACCGTATACAATTGTCTTCATTGAGTTGATATCTCACAACAAACCTGGTTGAACTCCACTGGTAACGGCTCCTTACTAGAACTTCAGGAATATCTCTTGAAGTCAATCACTAGTGAGCAAATGATTATTATCAGAAGGAGTTTTGTGGAGATTTTAGAAATTTCACTAATTGAAATGATGCCAGCTCAGTGTTCTAATTGTTTAAGCGCCTGGCGCGAGACTGGTAGATCCTGGGTTTGAACCTCGCGGGGCGCGGGGTCGTGGACACGCAGTGCTGAGGAGTCCCATACTAGGACGAAACGGCCGTCCAGTGCTTCCAGGTTTTCCATGGTAGTCTAGCTTTAATTGACTCATGATTTCAACCAGTGGAATTTCTAAAATCTCTACAAAACCCCTTTCTGATATTATTATAAATGTTAAAACAATCAAATCTCAAACCAAATACCTCCTATCCCATGAATCGATCATCATCAACAGCATCATCATCATCATTATCATCACAACTGAACAATCATTTATCATTTGAATTTAAACAAACTGAATTATTTACAACATACAAAAGTCTAATTTTATTTGACAATTTCAATTGTCAGATTATTAGTTGAGAGAAAAAAAATTACCGTCACTTGAAAGACAAAAAGAAAAACTGTATTTAGTTGCTATGTGATCATTTTTTTAAAAATACTTGAATGAGTATATTATTGAATAAGTTTGACATTAGGGGAAAAGAACGACAACAAACAAAACAATTGAACAAACAGAAGTTACTATTTAAATTAGACTGAAAACAATGACTTGTGTATGATAATAGGAAATTGAGTTAATAATGTCTAATAAATTTATTCTTTCAAGGATAAATGATATACACTACTGATAAATTAGAAGAGGAATTAATGAATGTTTCTTCTTTTTGAAAAACAAAAACCTGCTTAAAGATTTACTGAGCAACAGGAGAGAAAAGAATGTAAGGATAGAACTTAAAAGAAGACTATAATAAAGAAAAACAAATCTGTTTTCATTCAACTTGGATTTAAAGGTGACAAATGACTGGAAAAATATACCGATTAGAATGTATCTATCATACAGTCAAGTTGACTATTTTTGTTTAAAACAATATGTTCTTTATACTGATCATACATTGACAGGTATTATCTTCATGTTACCATTAATAGTGTATACAAATTTACATGTATTTATCAAAGTAGTTATATTGGTAGAATAGATAGAAGAGTGTAAGTTTTGCCTTAAGAGTATATTTTAAAAAGTTTCAGGTCAATTGGACTAAAGGCTTTTATATGACATAAGTTAAGAGGTTGTTATATGTAAACTATACAATAATTTTGATTATCTAAAATATTATAGATTGTAAAGAACAACTTATGAGAACGGAACGAAGTATAATGAATTCATGTTATTCTTCTCTGTTCAATTCAACGCGTGTTGAACAATAATATCCATCTATCAATTAAGGGATGAGTATACTGCGCAGTAGTTCGCCCTGTTCTAACTTACGTCTACGAAACGTGTCCATTAAGAGTAAAAGATACTCGTAAGTTGTTAGTATTTGTGAATCTTCATCGACTAAGATGGTTGGGCCACGTGTTACGTATGTATGAACACTGATTACCACGACGCGCAGTGCTGATTATTGTTGGAGATGGTTGGAAGAAAGTTAGGAGCGACCAAACCAAAGTATGGTATCAGTGCTTGAAGTCACTAACTTCTAGTCTTAAGCATGTTGATAGATGCAGACTACTTGGTTGTGGTTCGCTTGACTATCGTAACCAATGGTTGGAGACTCTAGGTAAGCTGGCTCACAATCGATCACAATGGTGTCGGTGTATACACACTTTGACTTCCCTTAAACCGTGAGATTAAATTCCCTTTGTACCCTTCTTTCTACAAGCTAATTCTTTCTTCCTGTATTATATCCTTATACACAATCTCTTTTTTTATACATTACTACCATTAAAGTGACTACTTCTATGAATTTAGTGTCGATCTTGTTGTGGCAACTTGCATATATGTGCCTGGTCCTATAGTGTAACTGACTGACAAACAATAATATTTACCTATAAATTGTTATTCATTGACAATATTAACAATAATCTTATTAGAAAACCTAAAATCTTTGCATCAGAATTACATTTTTCTTCATTGATCAGTATCTACATATCATGAACGGGATAAAAAATGATTTCGGTAGGATTAAAATTTATTAACCAACCAATTAGATTTAAGATATTAAGTTTTTAAATTTTTAGGGTAAGACTTATTCATCTTTATGGTTAAATAGCAATTTTGCCATTATAGCTAATATTAATTCGTAATAAAAACTCGAATTGTAATTACTGACCCAATTTTATCTAAATAAATCTTAATGCATAATCTTCTCTCAACCTTAGTAAATGATTGAATTTTCTCAAGATCATTTCAGAGGTCATCATTCAAAGGTCATCCACAAAATTATAATTTCATCATTAAATGAAATAAATTTATTGACTTGTGACCAAAAACCAATAAACTAGCTATTCTATTACGTTCCAGACCCGCTAACTAGGGAGAGAAGTCGAAGTCCGAACGGAGAAGTATATTCTGCAAAAAGCCAGAAGCACGAGCGATAACAACAGACACAAATCGTAACGTATATATACAGCACAAAACCATCCTTGGGAAGCGTTAAAAAATAGCATACCAAAGAATACAACGGACCAATAGCGTTTAGGAATCTCCCAAGTGGGATATAAAACATGGAGGTGAAAAGAGCGCTTCTGGCGCGAAAACAAAGAAATTCAAATTTTCTAAATAAAATGACAAAATTAGGTTCTTTTTCAAGTGAGTTCTGGGGATCTAATGTTCCCAACACCACTAAATGTTAAATTGCTGTTATAACGCTCGGTTTTACTACGTCTAATGTTATAACGTTTGTGTTTACACGTTTACACGTGTCTATTCTACAATACTTCAACACAACTCAGATCAAGAACACGTGATTACCCTGACCACAACGTAAATATAATTCCACACCAAAACCCGACACAACTCAACAACAATGAACAATCAATAATAAGTGAGTAATAATAATGGTAAAAATAGGGGAATATATAAATCATCTGATACCAGTCAGACTATCTACATGACTAGCTAAACAGACAACCAATCATTATCATTCTCGACCACACATCATAATAATAAGTTACAATAGTATCTAATTGTTGACACTTTATATTCATATGGTATACAGATTGTTACTTTAGCTTAGTATTTCTTATTATATTTACTTAACTGTCTACCTATCTACCTACTTAACAGGTTGTTCTTAACTTTTCTTAGTGACCTAAACAGTAATAAAGTTTAATTGTAGGATTTATTAGTTTTTCATTGTTTTCCGATTTGTGTTGTTTAATTTTTTTGACATAGTTGTTTTGTGGGACCCTTTTATTTCGTCGTCATTTAGATCGGACGATGTTTTTCGACATGCTCTCCACTTTAGTGGCCCGGGATCATATGAATGGTTGTTATTGAATGATTGCTGTCGAAATGTATATGTCGCCTGTCCTCGTATATAATCATCAACTTAAATCACGTTAGTCAATAACGGAATTAAATAAGTCAAATAACGAGAATGAACTTTTGAATATATATATTTTGTGTATGAAGCAAATGGAATGGAGCGAAGCGAAACGACGCGCAGTGGAGATGGTGGGCAAGCCAACTCCATTTAGTCAAGCATTAATCAATATTTATGGTCAAATCATTGGTCACTGATTGTACACAAACAGAGACTTAGTCTACTGACTATTAAATATGCAATTTCCTTTCCTATTATTGATTTCTACGCCTGACTCACTGAGACTGACTGCTTGTAATTATGTTGAAATAATATATTGTCTAGTGTTGCTCTAGTTCTCTATTTCAATCGTGAATCTGACATTTGGTATAACGTGATGTAGTCTCTGTATAGCGGAATCGTTCGAATATCCAGTCCAGCGCTAGTAAAAATCCTGTCATCCAATCTAGTTTTATTTCCATGTCACGTAATAGATTGGAGTACCGTGGAAAGAAAAATATTTCAAATCCATTCGTTATATCAGTTCAGTTTCTGAATTTCGATAAAACTTCTGTCTATCGTTCCTAAGTTGTTATAATATCATTGAATGTATTTGATAGAAGTGAATTATGAAGATTTGACGCTATTTTGAAAACATCAAGTACAAAGTGACGGCTTATTACTAAAAGCACTAACAGATTTCAATAAGCATGGTCAAGTTCATACCCTTTATTACTTAGTTCAACTCATATAATCAGAGATACTGTAACTAACCCAGAAATAAACAATATGGTTCAAAGTTGTATACTGTTGAGGATGCTAAATACCTAAAATACAATGATTTAAGAAAGAAATCAATCTTTAAAATCACTTATCGAATTAAGGTATTTCATTTTTTGCAATCGACTTCTACTGCATTTTCAATGCAATTTTCTGTTCAACTAAAAATTATCCCATTTGTTAATCTCATTAACTAATAAATATTGAATCTAACCGACAACATGATTGTATAAACTCAAACATGAATTATTTTTTTTCGGTTCACTTATTATAGTGTATGCTACTTATATTGATATGAGTAGTATATAATGATAATCAAGATTAGAATGTCTGGCAGCAAAAGATCGACAAGTAAAGAATGGGAACAGAAAGTAATTGGTATAAAAAAATACAGAAACAATAAAGTCTAAAACGATTGATTGACATTTTACAAATGAAGAATTTACTATATTGTTCTCAGATTTTACTAAGATGTTCTGTAATTTTGTATTCAATTTCATATTCGATTGTCCCTACTTGTGTTCTTGTTCACTATACCTACTACCATGTAAATATTCTTTTTCTTTTCAAAGTATAACTTAGAGACAAATTAGAAATAAGCGTTGTTATTGTTGTGATAACAAATCATAATTAGATTGATTATTGTTATCCTAAACATATGAAGTTTATAAAAACTTGAAATTGTTTGTTTTGTTGCTATTTTTAAAAAAAAAAGAAAAAAAACTACAAAACATGCCACCCAAAATCAATATTTATAATAATTATCGTGCAAAAAAAAGGGGGGGGAAATGAGTATCGAAACTGAAATCTACTTGGGTTCTACTCAAAGAAAGAAAGAAAAAAAGAAAAAAGAAAAAAATCTACAAAAATATTAAGGAAAAGAAAATTTGGGAAATTCTTACAATACTACACTACAATTCATTTAATTATAATTGTCTAATGAAATATAGAAATCTATTCAAGTTGTATGTTGATAATGTTAGTTTAATGGTGATTGTTGTATAGGTTAAAGTAAAGATAAACACTGCTACTATGAATACTACTACTACTACTAATACTACTGATATAAATTATTTTTACTCTATCACACACAATATCATACCTATTATCATTTCATAACCATATTGTTTGCTCTTCAGTTGATCGTAAACTAATATGAACAATGAAGATCATTTGAAATATAAAGAAATAGATTGTTTGGTTTGAATTAATATTCTTTTTTTGAAAGAAAATATGTTGTTCGATTCTACAAAACTGTTGTTCTTATCATTATTATTATTATTGTTGGTATTCTAATAAGAGATAAACATACCTAATAAGAAATACAAGTAGAGAGACGAACTATTGATAATTGAGGGAATGATTTTTTAAGTTTATGAATGAAATGTTAAATTGAACAGAAATATGATGAACATTAGTCACAAGACTGTCAGATGGAGAGAATAACTTCAGTAAATCCAAAGTACAGCGTAAGCAAAACACTTAAAGATCAGATGAGAAGACAGTTTAGATTACAGAATACATTGCAAGATGCAAATGTATGATTGAAGGCTACATATATATATATTATTGTAAACACTGTAGTCTTACGTAACTAACTTGTTCGATAGCAGTATCGTTACACAGAACTCTGTCAGTTTAAGATGGTTAAATATTTTTTATTGCCGCTTTAAAGTAAAATTATTAATCTTAAGTGTATCAGATGTTCAACTCTATCTATGTAGATTATACATAGTATACAAAATAACAATATCCTTAAAATCTACCACTGAACTTTTATCCTTAAATAAATCTTATACTAATAATTTGAAATGAATTAAACATTAAATAGATAGCTAATAATAAAATTAATGATTTATTCGTAAAATTTCAATGAGTAGAAAAATCAATTCTTGACGTTTCGTCGTTTTGTATAAGTTACTTCTTCAGGGGATATATAAATGATCGAATTATGCTAAAACAAACTATTTGTGATGTTTTGAAATCACCCTTATAATAAACTCCTATTAGTTATTTATATATATAATAGTTGAATTCATGAGTCGATTGAAGCTAGATCACCATAGAAAACCTAAAAGCAGTGAATGGTTGTTTTGTTCTAGTGTAGGACTCCTCAGCAGTGCAAATTCACAATCCTACTCATGGGACTCGAATGCAGAACCTTCGATTAAGGGTTCTTGTGCTACATCGATGAAACCGGCCACTTAGAGGTACGACATTCCATATCATATTTTCGAGTAATTCAATAAGAAAACGATTCATATTCACTTTTAAGTAATCACTACATGTTAATTATCAGTAAAAGTATTAAATGAATTAATTGAAGTGTATATTCCGTGAAACAATATGGTAACTTGTAATCAAACTTCATAATTTAATAGTATCTTATATTGATTCAATTTTATAAAGATATTTAATCATATCTGTTTTAGTTTCTTGTGTATATCAAACATTTTGTAATTATACCTAAAGAGAAGTTTTTAGTTTGAATTCTGAAGTAAATTTACATTCAGAATGGGTTTTTGTGGAGAGTTTAAGAAATTTCACAAGTTGAAATCATGAGTCAGTTGAAGCTAGACCACCATTGAAAACCTGGAAGCACTGGACGGCCGTTTCGTCCTGGTATGGGACTCCTCAGCAGTGCGCATCCACGATCCCGCACCACGCGGGGCTCGAACCCAGGACCCACTGGCTTCGCGCGCGAGCACTTAACCACTAGACCACTGAGCCGGCATCCAACATTCATCAAAAGCTTGTTTATATGATTCTTTGAACAATGTCATATCATCGTTTTATTGTGTTGTTTGTTTGTTCGTTTTTCTTTTCTTACTAAATTCAGTTCATTATTATATTACTTTAACAGTAATCTAACTTATGATCAAATGAACATTCATATAACATATACAAATATTAAGAAATAATTGACAGAATGTAAATTGCTTATTACAATTTTATTTTGTCTCTGTAATTTGTATTACAACTATGTACATTTAAAATAAAGAAAACCATTGAATATTATAATGGTAAATGTGTATATTTCAATAGGTGAAATCATGAGGCGATTGAAGCTAGGCCACCATGAAAAACCTGGAAGCACTGAACGGCCGCTTCGTCATAATATGGGACTCCTCAGAAGTGCGCATCCACGACCTCACCTCCTGCAAGATTCAAACCCAGGACCTATCAGTCTCGTGCGCGAGCGCTTAACCATTAGACCACTGAGCCAGCATCCATACTAGGACGAAACGGCTGTCCAGTGCTTCCAGATTTTCCATGGTGATGTAGATTCAATTGACTCATAGTTTCTACTATTGAAATTTCTAAAATCTCCACAAAACCCCTTCTGAAAATGTGCATATTTCAAAACCTGAATTACTGGTGATTATTAGAACAATGAAAGAATAATCCATCTGATTGACTAAGTAATTAAAACATTATGACCATGTGTAAGAAGATAACAGTTAAAAGAAATGAAAACTATGAATACAAACCATTTTTTGAAATGAAACTATAAACTGGCATGAATTCGTCATCTAGTACATTTGATAAAGGTTTTAATACGAATACTAGTTGAAAAAGAAAGAGAATGTCATGTTATTTACAACTTGTCCAATGCATATCCAATAAATGATTACTCATTGAGTAATAATTAATGTCATATATGTCTAATCCTTAATTGTTGATCGAATTCAGTCGATCAAATCATAATGTGAATACTAGTATAAGCCGCATAACATTCAATGTATTATGTTGAGATCAAGTTGTAATTCGAATAGCGCTAAAGAACTAGACAATCATGACATTGATTGTTACTCAGTAACCAATCAATTGTAAATATTTCAGACCTACAAAATGCTTCAGTCACAAGCAAAATAACGTAGTAGTAACGTCTCAGTCTGTGAAATAGTAGCAAGTAGTTGTACTCACCAGTTCTTCAAATACTGAAAGTATACTTTGTTGATGAATGTGGAACATCAGGATACGTAGGTCCAGGGTTCCTATGGGCTACATTCAACCATAGATAATAAAATTTATTAATATACGTTTAGATTATTTGACCCAAGTATCTGTTGTCAGTTAAACTACCAAATAAACAATATATGCAGCTTCAGGACTCTAATATAGAAAGTATGCCTTTTAACAGATTCCTGTGGTAAACTCCATAACAGCAGAAACTCTATTATTCCAATACACCAAAAGAACCCTAACTTTAAAATACTTTCCATAGATAGTCTGACTACTCATAAGTAGCTAATTCACATGTTAGAATATTTTTCTAGAAAAAATTAGTGGTTTTAATTATCAAACATTTAGGTAACTTTTGGATATTACTCAAGTATTTATCATATAAATAGACAAAATCAATACTGATTTTATTACTTACAGAATTTGAATTATTCGCTAATGTTCCTTGAGTTGGATTTGCTGCAACGGCAGCCGCTGCTGCCGCTGCTAATGGACCAACACCAGTTTGGGCTAATAATTGTTGTTGTAACAATTGAAACTGTACATTTCTCATAATCATATTATTTCGACCATTTTGTATTAATTGTTCACGTAAATGTTGTGGTGGATGCAAATACTTACAAGGTGGATCTCGACGTTGACATTTACCCTACAACAAGAAAATAATAAAATAGTTTTCATTCAATTAAAGTATGAAGCAAAAGAAAATAACATCAAAGATCATTTGAAAGTTGTTTACTTATTTTAAATCGAATATTGAATGAAAATTGTATCACCATATGAATAACAATTCATCTATGATCCTAAACTGATTATTTTGAAAGTGATTCTCTTAATGGAGTAGTATCATTTTGGAGATCATTGGAAAGAAGAGAAAATATTTGGCAACCCTTTTGATTTAAATCCCTTAACAAGTGTACACCATCAACTCGAAGTATAATTATCCATTGAGTCATTAGGTATCCTAGTGAATAAATAGCAACTGGAAAGAAAGATTACTCAGAACAGAGTTGGATAGAAAATGCTGGTTGGTGGCATATAATCCTCCACGAGAGGTAACAGGATTATATACATAACTTGTGACTAAGTCCTATAATAAAGTTGATATTTCAACAGCGTTTATTGGCATCAACAGAAAAACTCATTTGAATAATGATGATAATAATAATAATAATGAATATCATACTCATCCTGAATTTCACAACTAAACACAATTCTAAAATCGATTGTTTATCAATAACAAATAAACATTAAGTGAGTCATATCTATCAATATATACTGGTTTAAGTCAGCAATCGACGTCTACATTGTGATCAAACATAAACAGCTACACATACTACCTACTACTAATACTTATATCACTATTAGTAGTAGTGGTAGTATTACTATTACTATTATTGTTACGAATACTAGTGTTAATACTATTGTTTAATAGCTCATATTGAAACCAAAAAAATAATTTAGTTCACAAATGTTAAATAATCTCAATATTGGATAGTTGTGTATGTCATTTTGCTTATAAATAATTATTTACAATTCGAAATATTACAAGAAAACAATAATATTCAGAAAAAAGACAAAAGAGAGATAGGAGGAGGAGAAAAAAAAGAGGAATGTCAGAATATATATAAATGAACCGACCACAGCAGTCATTCGAAATAGTAACCTAATAATATGACAAAATCTGTGCAGATAGACAAGAGCAAAAAAAAAGTCTGTTTCCTTTTTCATTGTCTCCTCTCCCCTCTTACTTCCTTGCATACCTGTCAAGTTGATATATATTGATATGGTAATGAACAGAGAAAAGTAGAATTTAATATAGAGATTAAGGTAAAATACATACACAATCATGATTAAATCATATGTACATATAAACGAGTACAATGTTTACAAGAGTGTATCCATTTTTTTTTCTTGTCTCCATCTTCATTTCTTCCTATTCTTGTCTATTTTTCGCCATTTTCATTATTTCAATAATAAAATATATCAATTTGATACCATATAAAATACAAATAACGGTATTGATTTATATAACATTACACAGATGATAAGGTTTTCCTTCTTTTTGGTTATAAATAAATAACTTCTGTCTTCTATTTCATTCATTTCATTTCTTCTCTGTTTCCTTTCTTTATGTTTGTGTTTATTAAAAAGAGTATTTTCGGTGGGTTTTTTTTTCAATAACACGTATATTTCATTAATTGTCATTGATATATATATATATATATATATATATATATATATATATATATATCGACTGAGATCAGAAATCGATCGATGTTATGCCATCATTGAAAATCTGGAAGCACTGAACAGCCATCTTGTGGATGCGCATTGCTGAAGAGTCCTATACTAAGACGAAACAGCCGTCCAGTGCTTCCAGATTCTCAATGGTGGTCTAACATTGATCGATTCATGATCTCAATCAATGTGAATGGGAGTTTACTTTATTCTATCTTTATTGAATATTATCATTGATGTTACTATATTTCTAAAGAAAATAAAAAGAAATCATGAAAATCAATTGAAGAATTATTGAAAAGTAAAAAGTATTCAAAAGTACTTTTGGTGCTTGCATCAATGTTTCTCAGAATATTTACAATATTGATGACATATTCGGGTTTATGAGATTACCGTCTGAAAACAAGTGTATTGTATAAATTGAGAATAATAACTTGGAATTTATTGATTTCCAATTTCTATTTTTACAGTTCGATTATTACCATCCACTTACATTAACGGATAATCGTTTAATCCTGATAGATCTCAACCCGATCAATCATAGTTTTTTTTACCTTACTGTTCTTATAACGTATACGATCCGGTACACACATATATAGAAATTAAGACGAAAGAGAAAAATGGGAATAACTGTATAATATATTGTTATGATTGGATATGTGGTATCAATAAATAATAGTTTGAATTCCTTATTACAATCAGATAGACAATCGTATTTGGAAATCGATTCTGTTAGCAAACACTTATTGGGTCATCCAAGTAACTTATTAGTCAACTATTCCAATATGATAAAAATGTAATCTCTTTAGATTAGACCAAGTTATTGAAAGTTATATAAAATCAATGTCTGTTTAAGTTGACTAGATAAAGGATGGAGCGCAGAGACTCATACAATAATAATAATAATAGTGTATCAGTTCAAATGGTGTCATGTTGTAGCGGAGCAATTTTTTTAAAAAGTGTGACCTGACTTTATTATTTTGCGAACTAATTCTAAAACATTCAATACAATCCCATCTTTCCAATCGATTTATCATCATGTTATCTTGACTTGACCACAATAAGGATATTTACTATCTAATCTTTATTTTATCTGTATACTATAAATCAGTATCGCTTCAGTTCAGTATACTGTAGGCAATTTTTTGTTTTATCAGTACTATATTAATCTAAGATAAACACAATAATGTTTACTTATTATTACTGATATAAATTTATTTTGGATTAATACTTATCTACACAGAAACATACAGACGTACACAATGTATCATAAATATACAAACAGCCGGTTTTTCTTAATGTTTTCCCTTGATTAAACAACAACAACAACAACAAAAAGAAACAAATCTACCTAGATGAATTCTTTCTAAAAAATTTTTTCAGCCTGGAATTCGATTTATTTGTTGTTCATCATTTATTATATGTTGAAAGATTACATTGTTTGCTTCAAATCAATCATTGAAATAAACAAGAATGGCTCTGATAGAAAAAATGAGAAAATCATCTAAAGTAATCTGTTAGTTATTTTTTTTTCTGTTATAAAAAAGTATAATTTGGAATTTGAAATTAGTTGACATTAAAGAATGAATAACATTATGTTTAGTTAAGGAGGGAACAATTAGAAAATGTGGGCGGATTGTTGTTACATCCTAGTTTGAAATAATTCACCAATGTCCCATACCCCCTCATTCCTGTTGAGATTGATTTGTCGCTTGTTAGAAACATTAGCTGTAAACCGTTAAATTCCTAATTGGGTCACGAATGTCTCAAATTTATAGAGACTCAAACTACAACAAAATAGTTGTTCGGTCTTTTTTTTTTAAATTTTTTTATCAATGTATCGAATTTTTCATCTGTTCTTTTCGAGACCAAATAATTATATATTCAGTATTCTACTACTGATACTATGATTATTTCAATGCGTTTGATTTACAACTATTTTTGAAACATTTTGCTTTTGATATCCCGTTAAAAAGTACTATAACTTCAGTTGTTTATAGTTCACTAACTGATTGACTGTAGCAAATGATCGTAGGTAGTTGCTTAGCTTTAATTTCTTCACTAATCCTTTTAACAATCCCTATATTTACAATTGAATGTTATTGATTACTATTTTCACAATTTTCACAATAACCATAGAGATGACCTTGACATTCATGTTTTTTTACCAATCATACTTGATTCAAGTTACCTAGAACGTGTTATTAGAACCTGTTTGTAAATAATAGGCCTTGTTTTAATGAATGTATTGGGAGGTGTGGAAACACTTCATGCTTCATTTAATGCAAATAAAAAGACAGAATCTGAACAATATAGTGTAGTAAAAATATTATGTTTTATTCATTTTCAGAAGGGGGTTTGGTGGAAATTTTAGTAATTTAATGGTCGAATTGGATTGGTTGAAGCTAGACAGTAACATCGTTGGATGCCAGCTCAGTGGTCTAGAGGTTAAGCATTCGCTCGTGAGACTGATAGGTCCTGCGTTCAAATCCCGCGAATGAGATTGCAGATGCGCGCTGCTCAGTAGTCCAATACTAGGGCGAAACGGCCGTCCAGTGCATTCAGGTTTTTCATGATAGTCTAGCTTCAATTGACTCATGAATTCAACCATTAGATTATATTCATTTGTCTAATATAGCAAGTAATTTTACAGTATAATTTGCCGAAATGATCTTACAAATACAAAAGGAGTTCTGTTGTTCTATTATTTGGGTATAAAAAAATACTTAACCCTTAGATTATATTACTGTCATCTTGCATGGTGTTGCTACCCGTTCTCTCCATTGGCTTAAAATCCAATACGTTTAAAAGTTTTATAATCGAATGTCCGCTAATGACATTAATTCAAAATAATTATTTATCATTGATACTGATTGGCTAATTAATACCATTTACCGATCAAAGCTTATCTCAATCTAGTATGATTATTGTCTACCATTGGATATAGTATTACGTTAAGCGGTTACAGATAATCCATAAAAAAGTCTAGAATTTTATTTTAAAGCAATGAGTCCATTTTATAAATTTCGATAGAGCAATTAGAAGACGAAGTTGATCTGAAAAATGTAATGTATTTGGCGCTATATATTTCGAACAATCTGGTTACACATATACATATCAGGGCATTTTTATAATGTATCACGCAAATACATCACATTTTTCAGATCAATTCCATCTTCTAATTATATTTTATTCTAGTTATAAAAAAAGTAGCAAACAAGGTGTAACAGTAAAGCTTACAGAAAATGACACTGTCTTCACTGTAATATGGATCCGTATCATCTGGGAACACACTTAAATAAATGATTAATAAACTAATTTTGCTGTTGAACAATTTACTTACTTGATCTTGTACAAAATGTAACATTGTATTGTAGTGAACAAGAACACCAGTGGGGACAATTGAATGTATTTAACACAAAATTACAGGACTTGTTAATAAAATCTAACAATCATAAAGTAAATGCTTAATATGCAAAATGTCCATCAGTTGTCTCATAATGACTCAGATTTCATTGTTCTTGCATTTTCATACAAATTGCATTCTGTTTCCATTCTTTAATGTTCGATCCTCTTGTGTCTGCTGACAGACATTCTGTTTCTGACTGACATCATATACTACTTATGTCGATATAAGTAGCACACATCACAATATATCAAATTATTTAAACCACTATTCATAAAATAATCACTTAATTCTCACTAAGGAATAAACAATGTGACCAGTTAATTTCTATGTTATTACATTTGCTTAGTCATCAAATATACAATGGAAAATTGAAGTTATTTTACTTATAAAAGAATAAATGAACACTTTTGGGGGAAATGTCACAAATATGTAAAAACTAAATCCCTATTTTGATTTTAGAATTGAACATAGACAGATACAAATTCTAGGGTTTGTTTAATTTTCTTTTAATAATAAGATAATCAAATTAATAAAAGGAAAACTCTTTATATTATCATACTAGAAATCGAAAGAAATACGCAAACGGAAGATAAGTACGTAAGTAAGTAAGTAAGTCAGTTAGTTAGTTAGTAAGTAAGTAAGTAAGTAAGCAACTACTAATGACAATAGGAAGTTACAAACGAATAAATATAAGAAGAAAAAGAAGAAGAAGAAGAAGAAGAAGAAGAAGAAGAAGAAAGAAACATGAAAGAAAATCTACCATCATTTATCAAACCAGATTTTCTTTTATACATATATCTATATATGCCGTCGTTGAAAATTGTAATTTCATTTTTGATCTTTTAAAAATAAAATTTGACATGAAATTAGTTAGTTAAATGTTTGCTTGTTTGTTTGTTTGTTCCGAGGAACAGCCATTTGCACATATACCCAACCAGTATACATACATTCATTCATGTATAACGAGGGAATAGAAAAGAAAGAAAAACCAAAACCATGTTAAAACAAAGAAAGAGATTGAATTAAAAGTAGATGTATAGAAGGAGAATAGAAATTGCAACATACATACAAACATAACCGGATGATGAAAAATTTCAACATGATGATTAACGTCAGTTTTTAAGTAAAACTGAATGGCAGCTAGTAGTAAAATCCAGAATTTGTATTTCGTCATACTCCGAACATCTCAGGCTGAATGTTCTCTCATTACAATGTTGATGTTTACACTAAAAGTTAAACCTTGAACCTTTCGCTTGAGTTTATTGATTGCAGATCAACAAAAACTATCGTCTCAGTGTTTATTGTTGGCCATTACTCAACTTTACACAAAATTTACCACTTAAAGTCAATAATGAGGTATTCCACTCAGAATATACACACGTCAATAGATATTGATCGATTCTAGTTTCTAGTATTAACAACTGAAAGATTCCAGTTTCTATTAACAAATCGGAATTAGTTATCATCGATCTATAGATATTATTATAATATTTTTGTTGAAATAGGGATCTTTTGAGAATAAAATCAACCACTTCTGAAGAACTAAATGAAAATGTAGATCACTTAGAATGTCCTCTTTTGTTCAATATTCACGAGTTAAATCCCTGTGAAAGGTTGATTTCACTGTAGTTTTACATACTTTTTTTTCCTGAACATTCTTTATTGCAAGCAAACAGTTATGTCATTGAATAAAGCATGTATTACTATCATTGTTTATGAAAAGAATAGAACGTATTTGAGTTTATTAACCAAAACAAATTCCCATTTATCCAAATTAGGATAAGATATTAGATATAGTAACCGAACCGTAGCATTTTTCAATGAGAGATCTATAAAGAATCTAGATCAGCATTTTCTAATCGACATCATGTAAAATGTATGTATAGAATGTAATATTCCACATCATTTTTGTAAATAATTAAACATACAAATATATTTTGTTTGATTCGAAGGTCTTTTAAGAGCTTAGCAATATATATACATATATTGTAGTGGCTTTGTTTCGTTAACCAATTACCCTCGCAACCATTATTATATAAACCTCAACGACGTTTGAAATCAGAAGGCAAAGAGAAGCAGGAACTACAGTTTATTAGCGGATAGCGCAGATCACAAAGCTATAATCATATCAAGAGTATTTGAAGCGGAGAGGCGCATAAGTATATAGGAGCGATTACATAGGCAAATGTTTAGTCAAATTACATAAGGGCGCAGCAAGGCAAAGCAAAGCTAATAATAAGATTTCATTACATATATACATGGGGAGGCGGATGAATCATCGAGTGATATTTAAGCGATCAACATTTTAACTATTTTATTATGCCATCTAAAATGCTTGTGACTTAAGGCTATATCGAGGCGATCCGCACAGGATGCACTTGGCGGCCTGCCTGAACATTTGGGCTACCTGTTCCGCCCATCTAGATATTTCATCAAGTTATCTGTTTTGTTGTTTGTTTTAGCACATTATTATGTCTATTGTGTTCACAATCTATTCAGGCGCGTTTATGAAAAGTTTATAACCTTTCGCTATACGAGATACAAAAGGGTACAATCAGCGACATCATAGTGGCTGGCAATATACATTGAAACGAATGAACATTAATCAAATGTGGATAACCGAACTCCTAACATCTATTTGGTCATCATTCAAAATTTATCGTCACAATCGATCAAGGTATAAGAAAAGGAAACTTGTTGAAACACTTTATGCTGAGAATTCTATGTTGTACCAAAAATATAATGTTTAATAAAGTGGATAACGCGATCGGTACTGAGTTGGAGTCCCGGAGTGAACATCAACTCTGAGACGTAGGTACATCCAGCCGACGAGTCCTAAATAGGACGAAACGCGCATCCTGAATTCCACTGTTAACCACTATCCATCTTTGTTTATAAAAAGATTTTTCTTTTTCATTCCTTAAAGTAGAGTATATTTGTGATGATAGATCCATTCATTCAACAGTAGATCAGTCTATGTTCAATTTATTTACAAGGTCATAAATAACTTCACAATAGATTTCTCATAGTTTTATGGTACTTATATGTGACACTCATTGAAAATCCGATATAATAATTTTATAAAACAATAAACTATTAATTATATATCATACGTTTGTGAATTCTAATCTTTTTTAATTATTTGTAAGACGCCAGAGTATCTGTTATTCAGTTCAGTTCAGTAATAACGTGATGATTAAGATGATAAATTCATTCAAATGTAAGAAAATAGGATTACAATAAATAAGTACTTTCATCATCATCAGATCTTTTCAATCAAATCATAACAGAATATCAGAAGGAGTCTTATAGATATTATAGTAATTTTAATAGTTGACATCATAAGTCAATGAAGCTAGGTCATCATGAAAAACCTGGAAGCACTAGGCAGCCGTGTCGTCCTACTGTGGGACTCTTCAGCAGTGTGCATTCACAATCCCACTCGCGGGATTTGAACGCAGGACCTATCTCGCGAGGCGGTATCGTGGATGCGCGCTTCTGAGGAGTCCCATACTGGGATGAAACGGTCATTCAGTGCTTCCAGGTTTTCCATCGTGGTCTAACTTCAATTGACTCATGATAACAGAATAGATTTTTTCTTACTAATCTTCAACAATTTAAGCACCAAAACACAGATATTATTCATGAAACTCATTCACAAATGTGAATACTAAGTTGGTACTTGTTTTCGAACTTTCAGAAAAAAAAACAAGGAAAAGTTATCAACTTATTTCCAATTGGCTTAAAAGTATATATACACTACAATATTAGTAAATAATAAAACTAATGAACTAAACAATCAATCAATTGTCGATGAAATTATAGACAACTTACTTTAATTGAATCATAACAACAAATAACACGTCCACTTTGTACATCGACATGTGTTGGTGGATGAGCGAATTTACATTCATTTTCATCTCTTGAACATTGATTTCGTTGATATTGTCGGCATACTTCAAGTGTTAACCATCTGGAATCTTTAATATTCGATGGTAGACCAGCTGACGCAGCTGCAGCGGCAGTTAATGCAGCAACCGCTGCCGCCGCTGCTGCGGCTGTACTCGATGTGTACATACCATTATTGTTAGCATTATTATTACCATTACTGTTATTAGTTGTATTATTTGGAAACTGACTAGAATTTTCATTGGAATTCAATGTTGATGAATTTGGTGGTGGGAATGGTGTAAAATGTGGATAAACCACTGTCGCTGCTCCAGTTGGATCACTAAGACCAACACTATGAAGCATGATAGAATTAAGAGAGTAGTAAACAAGTATGTATATGTGTGTGTGCACACAGCCAATCAATCACGTACACAGACGTACGTATATGTTTATTTATTTATTTACACAAGAACGCATACACACGTACGAAATTGGTTGATCCAGTTAATTCTTCTTGATCTGGAAAGAAAATATCATTTTAAAAAAACCGTCAGTTTTCGTTAAGCAGGAAGATACTTATTACAAAATCGGTCAAACGTATCGAGTAGTGAGTGTATATTGGATAATTAATTAATTATTAAGAGTATGAGAAGTGTTAGGGTATCGCTTATGATCGTGAATATATATATATATATATATATATATATATATATATATATATATATATATATATATATATATATATACTATATTATGTAACTCATTTACCAAGGACAAGTTTATGTAATGTGGTTTGTGCCATAATATTTGTTTAAGGGATAACAACACCACTTATCTACTCACACCAAAGTAATTGGAGTAGACAATGAACCTAAGATCAATTGGTCGAAATCTAGGTGTTTTTGCCCTCGACCAACTAGTACCATAAATATGACGAAGGTAACAGATTGGTAATTAGTATCAAGTTATCTATATTTTGCTTTCATATATCAGTACCGTACCTTACTAAATGATATATTGTCAAAGTATTCAAAAGTGATACAGAAACGAAGGTTTTTTTTTCTTACACTTTAGTTGAAATAAGTTTTATTCCATTTCATAAACTTTCTAACATGTGCAGTATCTATTATCTGAACTTTTGGCAAATATTCGACAATGTTTCTTGATATGACATTTGCATAATTTGAAAAATTCCTCCTATCACTAAACGTTTGTTAATTTAAAAATTACGTAATCAAATTTAAAATGACTAGTTAAATTCTTATTGAGATCATGAACCGATCCATGTCAGATCACTGAATAGCCGTTTTTCCTAGTATGGAACTCCTCAGTATATATATATATATATATATATATATATATATATATATATATATATATATATATATATATCCATATAATTGTACAGTATTGAGAATAAGCTCATTGATAAAAGGATTTCTTTGTTGAAAAAGTTCTTTTACAATTTGGAAAACTTTGAAGAATCACCTGAGGTTTTAGATATTTTGAATGTTTTCCAATCAATTAGAATATACTAATAATAAACATAAGTCTCTTTTTTTATTTCAAAATAGCTTAATAGCTTAACATGTTTTCTGTAGTTTACATCACTACAAACTGACTTATGTCATACAAATAATGAAAACTAAAAGGCTTTAAAAAGCCGTTTCATCCTTGTGTACCATCCCAATTATGTCGGTTGTGAAGCCATTACCCACGAATGGTGTCGAATAATAGTTATATTATATCATAAATTCATTGAAGTTAGAAATGTGAACCATTAAATGTCAACTTAATGATAAGCTAATTTGATCTCTAATGCGGTCAATATCTGTCTAACAAAAGTCAGTTCATAATGTAAACTGTAATACTCTACAATTTCCACAAACTATTTTATATAACATATGAAGCTTAACAGAATACACTGTCTAAATAATTAGATTATGTCAAAATGTGTTATATGTAGAGCTTAGATGCTTAATATACCGTTAAGACTTGAGCACTAGAACTCTAGGACCTTCCAAGTCGCAAATGAGAAGACAGAAGACAAATGGAAGGAGTGCTATTCCAAACAGTGTCAAATATGGTACAAAACTCCCAGGTATTTATATATATTTTTTAGTAAAAACGAAATCATCATTATAGTCATCCAATCTGCATACAGGGGTTTTTTAGCATTTGTTCAATAGGGAAGCTGCACGTAGGGATTCTGGAATATTCTTCCAAAAGATGATTAGATGGACTATCTTCGGCTCTTTCTGAGCTCCTTAGAGCTACCTTTAGTTCACAAAATTATTCGATTGTGTCAAAAACAACCCGACAATTTCATGTATGATCAAAATAATTGGTAAAACACATGTTGTTATGATACAATAAATATTATGTAAGTTATTTTTGTATCGATTTTTATAGGTTATTTAACATTCTACCATAATATGATGTTGTTATAACTCATAACGGAAATAAATAGTATCAGCTGTTATCAATGATGAACGCTTTCATAGAAAGAAAAAAAGGACAATCAATAATTTCTACATAGATACTTACTGTATAGTAACACATAATCAGCCTACTTTTCTTATTATTAAAAATTAAACAATGAAAATATTAACCTGAAACAGCAATTATTATTAAACTTAAAAACCATCCAGTTACAAATATGTGCATTAATTACGAAGAAAAAGAAGAGTATTGTAATCCAAAGAGATAATTGTCTAATACTATTTAACTAATTAAATAATCATTCCCATAGTTGATCTAAACAATACCAAGTGAATTTCAACTTCACCCCATTGCACAAGCAAAGTGACTAACAGGACTCATTAGTGAAGTGGATAACGCGATGGTGTTTGAAGCGAATGGTACTGAGTTTGAGTCCCATAGTGAACATCAACTCTGAGATGCAGGTACATCCAGATGACGAGTCTCGAATAGGACGAAACGCGCATCCTGGATTCCACTGCTAGCCACTATTTATCTTTGCTTAATGATTCATCATATTTGAAAAATTACAATTTTTATTTTAAATCATCAATAAATGTTCTATATTATAATCATGATTACAAGTATTATTCATTTTCATTAAAATTTATTTTAATAAATAATCTATTTAAGTAATAATAATAATAATTCCCATTACAAAATGATATTTAATGAAAGTATCTTGAAGATAGAAAACTATCAGATAACTGTTGTTGTTTTTTTCATTCTGATTTAGCACTTTACAATAGAATTGAAACTATGATAAATTCAAAGTTTTTTGACAAGTAGACAGTAGTCACCTTGCCGAAATATCAATAGTTTCTGTGTTGTTTTTTTTTCAACTTCAGTCAATTTAGATTGATATCGTGAATGGATCAATGTTGGACCATTATTGAGAACCTGGACGGCCGTTTTGTCCTAGTATGGGACTCGTGAGAAGTGTGCATCTATGATCTCGTATATGGGACTCGAACCCAGAACCTACGGTCTCGTGTATGAACGCTTAACCTCCAGATCACTGAGCTTATATCAAATGGTGTTAATGTTTAACTCCAAACAATCCACGATATTGCGCCACCGCCCACCACTGTTCTCAGTGAGTAACTGTCTCACAACAGACCTGGTTGAACTCCACTAGTCACGGCTTCTCACTAGAGTTTAGTCAATTTACTGGTGAAATACGATCTTCCATTTGATGTCATCATTGGTCAATAATTGCTTAACATATAATCTCTAGTTGATCCTGAATGGCACTGATAAGCTTGGTACTCGAGTTTTCTTATACTCCCCTAGAAAGAAGGCTGGAAGTGTGAACAGAAGCTTTACTACAGGGTTAAATTATGTACAGGAAAGGAGATTTATTTGGATATGGATGGTCTTTACGTGTTGGAAGATTCTGGAAACTCACTAAATTTAATAACGAAATGTTCAATTACCCCATTAGAGTGTAACGCACATTCTAATGTATCTCTAGAAATCTCTTGGAAGTTCTCCCTTAGCACTTATTGGGTGATGTGTTTCCAACATTTTCCCAGATTCTGAGGAATTCTCGAAGACTCCCAACAGTCACGACGCACCATTAGAACTTGGATAAATCATTATTGAATATGTCTATCATAACTAGTAACAGCCTAGCAATTCTATTACTAACATCATTTTGAGATGAAATCCTCCGTCGAAAACATGTTTATTCCATGGACATATGACAACAAAGAAGTTTAATGAACGAGAGAAATGCTTAGTAACAAATCATTTCTTGCAAACATAGTATGGTATATGTTACTTATGTTGACAGATATAAGTAGTGATATAGCACCAATCAAGAGTGTAAGGCCTGGCAACAGAACATTGAAATATAGAGAACAGGATGGAAATCGGAGAGCAATCGAGATAACAACAGAATTACAGGAATAATGAAATATATAAAGGGCATCGCAAAAAATGTGCAAATGATGTGTTTGATGTATGATTTTCACATATTGCTAATCAACAATGTAATTTTCTATTCAACAATAAAGTGGTTTTCCCCATCATGTCTTCATTCTGTACAATACTTTAGAAAATTTTAAACACTATAAACCTCCTAAGGGCAAACTAGGTTATTCTTACAGTCGTATACGGACGAATTGAAGTGCATTGCACTAGTTATATACAATGTAATAAACTATAGTATATTTATATTCGTTCACTATTTTTCATAGAACTGACAGCCTCAAAATTTTTGATGTGTCCAAATTCTTGAACAGTTTAATACTTTACATCATACACAAGAATACACATAAGCATATACATACACACACATACACATGCACAATCAAATAAAGTTAGCGTAGCTCTACAAAATAACAACTAACATCCCGTTATAGGAACAACAAAAAATGTTATTTCTTAGAATTCAATTAATCATGCGTAAATGTGTTCCTTTTTAGAAAAAAAGAAAAAAAGCTATACACGTACACAATAAAAACTTGGCATTCTTCATTTCTTAAAGAATGTGTGTATGTGCACAATAGCAAGTGATTATAATCAGTTAGAAATTGTTTTTAATAATGCAATCTAATGATTAAACACAAAGTCTTGTATGGCCTGTAGAATAGAATCGACAATGATAATTAGACACTGGGATATTTGTTACAACTCAATAAACGATGAGTGTAAAAATATCAGTTTTGAGGAAAATCAGCCTGCAGTCCCAGTAGCTCTGTAATTACGTCTCTGATTATGACACTTAAAAATTTCTTAACGTTCCTTTCATTTCTTTTAATGAACATGTGTTTCATTTGACTTTAGATCAAGATGATTTTCTGGAAATACTATTAAAAGGTTAACCTACTTTATACGTAATACTCTCAAAACTAATAAAATGACTCGATATTTCAAATGGACTAATAAACTAAGCAAATAAATCGCAAAGACTACTTAAAAAACAATGCTACTGTTGAGGTCATGAATGCTTACTACCATTGGGTAGTCTCAAAACAGGACGTGAAATCTGTGTAGTACTCCTTGGATTGCAGTGACACAATAGAAGACCGGGA